AAATGTCCATATAAATAGAGCTAACAGGGGCAAGAGAGCTCTGGTGGCCCAGTGCTTAAGGCATTTGACTGCTAACCAGAAGGCCGGTGGTTCAAACCCACCAGCCACTGCTTGGAAGGTTGGGTAATCTACTTCCATAGTGATATCGCCTTGGAAACCCAAGGAGGGGTTACTATGAGTTGGATCTGACTCAATTGCAGTGAGTTTTAGTTTAACGGGGGCAAAGTTATGATAACTTCTTAGGCACAGTCAACCATCCTGATAGATTGAGTTGCTGGACCTATGGGCTCAAGACCATGGTTGTGGGGACATCATGTTCAACTGGCATAAAATACTACACAAAAGCATGAAACACTACGTCTTACTTTGGTGAGTAGGGACTGAGGTCTTAAAAGCTTTCAAGCGGCCATCTAGATTTAACAATTGGTCTCTCCTCATCCAGAGCAAAGCAGAATGAAGAAAATCAAAGATGGAAACAATTAGTCCAGGGGACTAGTGGACCATACAAACTTCAGCCTATACGACCATGAGACCAGAACTAGATGGTGACGGCTACCACTGTCAACCACTTGGAAAGGGATCAGTACAGAAAATCCTGGATAGAGTGGGAGAACAATGTGGAACAAAACTCAGAATCATAAAAAAGACCAGGTTTACTGCTCTGATAGCGCCTGGTGAAACCCCCATGTCTATGGCCCCTAGTTACCATTCAGGCTTGGAATTGAACTCACTCCTGTGGCTTCTAGCCAAAGAACAGATAGGCATATAGGGTGAACATTGACATCAGGTACATACACTCCTTAAAATGATCTATCATGGGAGAACAGAAGGACAGTATTTGCACAGGAAGACAGCTTAAGGGGCAAGGATTTATAGAAAAAGAAACAAGAAAGAGATAACTACAAGGAGAAAGTAGGAAAAGAGCTGTTACACTGTGGGTAATTGCAGTCAATGTTATGAGACAAAATGTGTATGAACTGCTGTATGAAAAATAAATTTTCTCTGTAAACCTTCACCCAAATCACAATAAAAATTTAAAAAAACAACAAAAAAATAATTTTGTTTACAACCTTCTACTATCTACTGGAGTCTACATCTCCCATAGATGCACATCATCTAATGTGAATTAATATTCTCAAGAATCAATTATTCAAAATTGCAGAAAGTATTTTATTAAAAGAACAAATATTAAGGCATAAAAATACATCTATTTTTCAAACAGAAATTCTTCACATAGTTATATACTACATTTAAACCAAACTCTTCCAAATTATACAATAATTTAACCTTCTAAAATAGAAAAAAAATACAACCTTTAAACCCCTAAACTTTCTCTGCAAATTAATGAACATTTTTCTAGTTCTAGATAAGCTTCTAATACAATATCAAGCTCCTGTATTATAATGTACAGTTCCTTAGAAATTTAGTCCTATCATTTAAATACATTTGATATATTTATAGAACTTTAACCTATATGTTAAACTTCTTTTGCATAAGTATAAGGCTTGGTGTTTTTTATTGCTTATTGCATGCTGTTGATCATACAAAGACACAAGTACCAGAACTAGTAACTTGAAAACCTAACGTAACATCTCTCAACTATGAAATATATATATATATCCTAGGCATATACTGTAAGACTCAAATCCTTTAGGAAAAAGAATGTAAAAATTAACTTTATATACACATTTTTATACACTTTCAGTTTTGACATTATAGTAGTACAAACATATGTACTGTATCACAGGGAAAAGTCAGTGTTTTCTAGAGGATATGAAAGATTTAAAAATTATTTTCTTTACAGGGAAAGTATAGGAACATCCTATTATTTCTCAGGCTTAAAAAATTCACATTCCTTATTTTTTTTAAAATAAACAAAATAAACTGTCCTTTAAAGCAGGTATTTAAATACCAATCTACCTCAAATCATGAAAAATTCCCTTTTAAGCAATTTCACACATCAAATAAATCTAACACGAGTTGCATAATAACACATAAGCACTTTACCTACAAACATATACAACTGGACCCTCTGCCTCAGATCCCTTCATTACTAGGAAGCTCTATCCTGCTGGCATCCCAAGAATAAATCGATCTGGGGCTCCATGGGCCCTGCTGAGCATGGATGATGAGCTAGAGACCCTGGCTGTAACAACCCCCGTCTCCTTCCTATGAAACAGCTGTGGGGTCCCTCGGTGACAAAAATGGTAAGTGCTCGACTACTAGATGGAGAGCTGGCAGACTGAACTCACCTAGGGGTGGCTTGGCAGACAGATCTCGTGATCTGCTTCTGAAAGGTTACCTTAGAGAGCCCATGGGGGTTCTACTCTGCACACATGGGGTGTCCATGAATCAGAATCTACTGGAAGGCCAGTAACAAGGCCCTCTGTAGGAATACTCACCAGACATCAACAGAAAACATAATAAAAGTGACAGACACAGTACATGCCTTTAGAATATTAAAAAATTCCTGATGTGGCTATCAGAAAGAAATCCTGCTTTCTCTGAAGAGAAAATTTTATATTTCAGCCTGTAGCTGAATGACACAGATAGTATCATTTATCTTTCTGGCTACAGAAGGAAGTGTTTTATGAGACAATTTTCCCTTATTATTACATTTAACCATCATCACCTCTCCACCCTTACTTCCCTAAATTGGTAGTTCCCACTGGCTGGAGCCCTGGTGGCACAATGGTTAGGTGGTTGGCTGCTAACTAAAAGGTGTGTAATACAAACCCACTAGGAGCTCTGTAGGAGAGAAGACCCAAAAATCTGCTCCCATAAAGATTACAACTTAGGAAACCCTATGGGACAGCTCTACCCTGTCATACAGGGTCACTGTGAGCTAGAATTGACTCAACAGCACACAAGAGCAACACTGACAGGAAGACCAGGACCCTGCATCACAGAATTCAAGTAGAGTCATGTGATGAACTGGACAGTCAATTCTTCCACAAACCTTGGTGGGTATTATATTAAAATGGTAGGAATGGGAAGGCAGAGGTCATCTCTAGCTCTAAAAGAACTGCGCCAAAGTGGAATACACCACAACCAGAATGGAACGCTAGCTGGGTGGGAACGCGTTATTATGGCAGAAACTGAAATAAGGAATGGAACCCACAACCGTTAGCCATTCTTTTCCAAGGAAAGATGTCCCAAAGCACTGACCTTGAAAATCATGTCTTTTACAGTAATGTCTACCAACACTGTTCATTTTCCAAACATTCACTATTGAATGTATCTTCCAAGAGACACTGCTACTAGAAATATTCTTTACTAACCCCTGTCAAATGAGTGAACGAGAAATAAATTCAAAAGCAGGTTTCTGAAAGAAAAAGCAGGTATTTTGTGGCTTCATAGTGAAAAAAAAAATTAAAAGTTGTATTTAAGTGTTTGTGCTAGTTAAGATTTTAATGCTTTCTCAATCAAAATTCCCTGAAGTTACTTCTCAATTCACCAGCATAAAACTCCTTTAAACAAAGCTATGTAAGATACTAAATTTAACTCCTATTCTAAACATCCACTTATATCTTTGGTCATGAAAGCAGCAAAACATTCACAATCATACTATAATCAAATCCCTTTCAAGTTTAGGACACTCTATATTTTTAAAAAAGTTATTAAAACAAAACTTTCTAATTACATATCATATGTATTAACAAAATAAAGTGTAACACATGGTTGAAAGTTAAATTAATTACAAGATTAATAGTGATATACCATACATTTAAATATATATATAAACACACACACACACACACATACACACACACATATATATATACATACGTGTATATATATATATAAAGATTATGTAAAAGATACAATTCTCATTTCCTCAAGGTTCCCTGGTAAAGAGTCTCATACCTCACTAGGGAGGAAGTGCTCTGGAAGCATCCTGTAAGTACCCCAGGCAGACTGAGCAGCAGCACATAAACACACAGACTGAACAGGGGGGCAATGACAGAGATCTCTGGAGATGACCCTCAAGACTTCTCTCTCCATGCTGAGAAAATGGTACCCCTGTGTTTCCTTGAACTCAGAGAAAACCTAACTCCATGATTTGCTGCACATAGCATTATTTACAAACAAGGGCTTTATGCAGAAATCAAAACTGAACAGATAAACATTCTTATATTCAGATGTTAACTTTTACTTAATATCAAATCAGTATAAAAGTCAAAGAAAATTGTTACTGCATCCAGCACTGTGATTGCAGGAGATGGAGACACTGTTTTACCACACTTCAGAAGAATCACATTACCTCAAAGATTAGAAGAAGAACAGTAGGAATGTTTATTACCCAAATAAAGGAAAGAAAGAAAGAAAACCCTGGAATTGTCCTATTTTCCAGAGAAAAGAGAGAAAATCCAAAACCATATTCCTGTTACTCATCTGCTAAGTGTATTTATGCACACACCTACTCCTTACTTATTGACATTGTGAGAATTCAAAGGTCAGGTTGTTATGTGAAAATTGGCATTATGCAAAAATGGAGGATGACTGCATGAAATCACAAAATGGAGGATGACTACATCATTACATAACTGGCAACCTAATGAGCATCATGAGCATCACAGCCCAGCCACGTTGACACATAACCTTAATCATCATGTTACTCTCACTTCGTACCTTGGCATTCATTACGTTAGACTTACGCTATTGATGTGCAAAATAGTTGGATAGATTTTCTACTACTGCCATAAATGTGAAATGATGAATAACAAGAAAGTCAGTAAGTGAAGAGTAGGTATATGTTTTTATCATGATACATTTCTCAGATTATTTCCAAATCCAGGCAATTTAATGGACATTAAACTGACATTCACGAGTCCAGTTAGAGTTGGCAGAATCATCCTACCACCTGAACTCATTTTAATACGTGAATTTCCAAGATAATACAATAAAACCTTGTTAACTTTTTGAAAACAAAGCTCTCAAGAGTCTTGAGGAAAGACAGTCCTTCAACAGTAAGCAGGTTTCATTTATATGGGTTCCAATCACATGATCTTTTCTGAAGAGAACATTTTTTCTGCCATTTCAGATCGGGTCATGATTTCCTAAAAACAGAAAAGACGACATATATCAAAAGGTGGATGCTGCTTCCAGAACCCTCACAAAATTCTCTCATCTTTTAATGGTCACAATTTTGTAGAGGCAATGCAATTATTCCACAACATACTCTGAAGCATCAGATACAGAAAATAAAAACCATAACTCAAACTCTCTAATGATATATTATCAATTATCTAGCTGAGAAGTTTGGAAAACTTCAAATTCCTGCTAGAAAATATGTCAAATTCAGAATCCCCAGTGAACGGCAGAGAGAGAGCTAAAATGGATTTCTTAGGCATAACACATCTAGGGATTTGCCTTACTTTATTCATGTATTTTTAAAACTGGGAATCAATTATTTATCAAGTAAATACTTTAAATGCCCTTAAAAAAGTAATAATTCTTTGGTATATCTTTCTGTAGTTATAAATCCTAAACTATTTTATAGCAAAGTACATGTATACTATAGCCTTCTCAAATCTTTCCATACCATTAGAGTCCAACCACCAGATGGATACCAAAATTATTTCCCTGCCCTTTCAAAGAACAGAGCTGTAGCTCCTACCCATATTCTATAGCCACCATATAAACTACCCTTCAGTGGCACAATTTTCCCTTTACTCTGCCTATGCAGAAGCGAATGCTTCCTAATGCTTGAATTCTTACCCTTCTAACTTCTTCCTGTCTTGGGTCACCTTTTAATGTTCACATGATCCATACTACTTTTATTTTCTTATAAAAACTTTTCTAAATCCACATCCTCTACTCAAATTTTCCTGCTTAGTGAATGAAAAATCAAATGGAGACTATTTAATACCCCAGCAAAATATCCACAATTATGAGATTAATTAACAAAAACCGTCATCTTAAAATGTTCTAAATTCTGACCTATATATTTATAAGATCTTAGAAAATCTTAAAATCAAAATATCATGAAATAATTCTTCCCTTCTTTTACACCAACAAGCATTCATCGTATTCCTTTTTTAAATGAGGACCCAATTTCTCTAAACTTTATCCACAAAACAATCCACAGTGCTTTTCAGTCTGCTCAACTTGTAATCATTTTGAAAAGTAACTTTCAGAATTTCTTCTGAAATACATTTCTACTTGTGAAAATGATAACTCCAAGGAAATAAGCAAAAATATTTTACCTCATCTGAATCTACTAACACTGGAAGAGCTCTGAAACAAAAGTGGGGAGAAAACGCAGGTTACAATGCTATTAAGCCCAGCTTATCTACTGAAGCAGAACACAGGCATGCTCTATGGCCCATCAGTTCTCACTCCTGGAGATACACAACCAACAGAAGTGAATACCTAGGTCTGTCAAAAGATAGAGAAAAATTTTCACAGCAGCACCATTTTTACTAGCTCAAAAGTAAAAATAACCCCAATGGGTAAACTGATATATTTATGCAATAGAATACTAAACAGCAATGAAAATGAAATGAATGAACTACTGAGGAACAATAGTTTTAAAATTAGCACAATTCATCTACAGTTACACAAGTCAGGGATGGCATCACCTTTGGGAAGGGGAAGTGTGGTAGTTAGTTGTATGTCAACTTGGTGGACCTGGTTGAATGGTTGGGCAGCTGATGGTAATTATTCCCCATGATGAAACTGGTAATCAGCTCCATGCTGGGATCTACCACAAGCAACTGAGTAGCTACTTTAGGGTTGTGGACTGCTTCCCATATATAGGCAGAAGCCTTGGGAACAATCTCCAACTTAGGGCACCCTTGAACTCTGCATGTAGCCATGTCTTTCGTTGTTCAGCAGCCTGCCATGCTCTGCCAATCCTGGGGCTTTCAACAGACTTGAATCAATAGCCTGCTGTGTGGTTTGGTAACATCAGGACTGTGCCATTTTATTTGTTGACCTTGGACTTGTTAGCCTCAGCAGCCAGTAGTTGCCTCTAGTTTCAGTGGGCTGGGAGCAAGAGGCAGAGCTGAAGCCCAAGGCTGATGGGCTTTCACCCATTCCCTAGAGCCTGGCACTTTAAACTTGGACTTCTAGCCTCCCAAACTGTAAAAGAATAAACTCCTATTTGTTCAAGCCATCTCATTTGTGCTATATTCCTGTCAGAGCAGCATGAGGTAACCAAAACAGGAAGATATGATCTGCGAAGGTTTTAAGACACTAGTGATATTTTATCTTTTCATCTGTGTTTTGGTTATACAGTGTGTCCATTTTAGAAATTCACTGAGCTATACACTTACCAAGGATTTAGGTACTTTCTAGAATGTGTGCTACATACCACTCAGTTAAAAATTAACAAAACATAAAAATAGTAACTTCAAGAAAAAAAAAAGGCACATCAACAATCCTAAAGCCTAGTATGCAGGAGGAAGATCAATGGATAAAACATACAAATCAGTATTTCTAAACACAAGTGACATCAACAGCATATTTATTCTTTAATCTCCTGATTTTTTTTCACTGTGAATAGTCAGACAAGCATCTAAATGGTGATCTAACATCTGATTTGAAAACATAAATGTCATGTGCTTCTTGAAGAATTTAAGAGGGATGAAAACATTATGAAAAACGGTATTTATGGAATCAAGCATTTGTTTTAACTCCCATGTCATTATTAACACTAACTGGAGACCTACCAATGAAGGTACTACTAGAGAGAGAAAAAAGTATGTAACATAAACTTTGCTCTATAAAGATAATGTGGATTAAAAACAAAAGACAAATGTATAAAAATGCTCAGTAAGCTTAATCTAGCTTCAACATGTGGTAGAGCTTTGAGGGGGTGAGCCAATGTCACAACATGAAAGTCACATCAATGTACAACTCCTAAGGATGCTATTTACAGTGCAGTCCATGTTGATGGCAAGACAGAGAACTTGGAGAGATTAACTAGATATGAGAAAGGAGTCAAGTCAGATGGTGTGGAATGACACTATCAAGACACACAATAAAATCCAGAGGAGGGAGACTGCTTTAGGGGAAAGAAGAACCAAAACTTTCAGGGCCTTTGTTGAGAGATAAACACTAGCAATCTCAAACTGTGTTCTCTCTGTGAGCTGAATGACTGCTTGAAACTTACTAAGCTGTCTTCAGTGCTTAAAGGCAAGTCATGTTAATCTGACCTTTATGGCTTATCAGAAATAAGGAAAATTCACAATACTAACATCTCATAATACATACACCATGATCTGTTTAAACGTTTCTATGCTTGCAAAATTTTTGTTCCATTTCCATGGATGTATGTAAAAGGTTTTCTCTGTGTAAGTCTAAATACTACATTTGTGATGTAAATTGTACATTACGTATGGATAGCATTGTGCTAAGCAAGCGTTTCCAAGAACCTAAAATTGTGTCAACTGTCTTGGTGTATATGGATTCACTCACTGCACATAATTCAGAGAATAGTAAATAAGACACTCTAATCTTTATATTCCAAAGGAATTTTTACGATCAGTAGGTATTTCTATTTCAGAACAAAAGAGCAGGGCATGATGATTTCTCAGACATACAGTGAACTACTCAGGAGCCTTACTGCTTTTTATGAAGAAGCACTGTACAGGATGACTCTGATTAGATGATTTCCTTCCAAAGTACTTAGTTGTGAGTTTTCAAATCTAAATAAAATGGTGGTCCCTTAAGCTGAAATCTCAACACACATCTTCGTGCAAAAAACCCTAAAATCAATAAAAAGTGCAAATGAAACTACACATGATTCAGGTGTTAAGCATTACCAGGAAACACTACAAACTTGAAATTACCTGTAAGTAGAGAAAAAAAATATCAAATTCCAGATTTCCTGCTGCCACTGCAAGTTCATGAGTGAACAGAGTAGTAGGGAAAGAGAGGCTTGAGACTGTATGAAAAAAAAGTATGGGGCAGAAAGACTTGGACAAGGTACAGATAAAATCATGCCCCTTAAAAAAAGTCCAACACTTAAGTACCAAAATACTGAGCATAGGTCAGTGATGTGGTAGTTCATAGCACCTCCTACAGGAAAGAGGCTTAAATGAGCAGGACCAAAACTAGCAGCCTTGAAGAATCATTATTTTCAGTTTCAGGTACATAAAGGAGTATATCTTTTGGAGATATTAATGTGAAATAAAGGTTAAAAAAGAAAAAAGGAAATTTTAAGGATCTTGTGAAAATAAGAGAAAAATAAGATACACCAACTTCTCTCTACACTCCCTATTCATCAACATCAATCATAAAAGAAACTATCCTTCATTCACACTGATGGAAGAGACACTCAAATTATAAATCCTTCCCACCAAATGCCAATGAGTAGGGGAAAAAACCCAAAACATCAATTCTATATAATACAGCATTAAAAACAAACAGGAAAATAAACCGCAAATCAAGACATTTTACAAGAAAGCTATAACAATACTCCAAATTGAATGAAATAACATAAAAGAATATTTGGTGATAACAAAAACAACTAAAATAAGAAATTTAAAAGCTAAGAGCATCATATGATCTACTATGCCAGGAATGACAAATTGAAGAATTATGCCGCATTCATTGTCAAAAAGAACATCTCAAGATCTAGCCTGAAGTACAATGCTGTCAGTGATAGGGTAATATCCAAACACCTACAAGGAAGACCAATTAATACTACTAATTATTCAAATTTATGCACCAACTACTAAAGCTAATGATGAAGAAACTTAAAGATTTTTACCAACTTCTGCAGTTTGAAATTGATTGAACATGCAATCAAGATATATCAATAATTGCTGGTTAATGGAATGTAAAGTTAGAAATAAAGAGGAATCACTGGTAGTTGAAAAATATGGCCTTGGTGGCAGAAATGACACCAGAGGTCGAGCAACAGAATCTTCCAAGACCAATGACTTATTCATTGCAAATACCATTCTTCAACAACATAAATGGCAGCTATACACATGCACTTCACCAGATGGAATACACAAGAATCAGATGAACTACATCTGTGGAAAGAGGTGAAAGAGAAGCGCAACATCAAGTCAAAACAAAGCCATCAGTGGAACAGACCATCAATCGCTCATATGCAAGTTCAAGATGAAGCTAAAGAAATTTAA